AGCCTTGGCTTAGCCCGGGCTTGCTCACAATACAACGAGTGTTCCGGTGCTATCAAAAGGGAATGTATTTGGGTGTAGTAGATTAATACTGCATGTACTCACTAAATTATAACCTCCAGAAGATCTACACCTGCGGAACAAGTCGAGTTGCAGCGAAGTCTACGGGCGTGCGCCTACGGCAGGCACCAGATGGTGACACACAATCGTGCTCGGCGAGAGCCGTTATATCTAGAATATCTACGTTTTGTCTTCTATGTGCATATTAGGTCGCTCTCTCCTTATTCTGAACTCAGGGAACAGTGACGGGGCCAGCACACCCAAGCCTGGGCTTCTGGGCCGGGCTTGGGCTTGACTACGCTCCGAGCCCGGCCTTGAGCCCGCTGCCAGGCTTGACTCGGGCCAGGCTTTTTGGGCCGGGCTTGGCGGGCTTGCAGGCTTTGAGGCCCGGCCCGCACATCACTAGGTGGAAGCCTCCTTTGACTGATCTTGCCTCGCGCTGAATCGCTTGGGCCAATACTCCTCCATCTACAATGGCTGGTAAGCTCAAGCATGCATAAGACAGCAAACAACCTACCGCTTTCTCAATGATTTCCTCAGCATGTTCTTGCCAGTTGATCGCGTCAAAGTTCCCGGCCTTGATCGCCTCCTCTTGCTCCTTCTTACCGCCCCATTTCATCTGTATGTAGTCCGACTTATAGTAGGGATGAAGAACTGTATGTTCAACGTAAGCTGAACGCACGAGCACATGGGAGATATGACAACGACGTACGAAGGGCAAGAATATATGCACGTGAGTCATCAAGCTTCCAGTAATACTTGCTTAGTTTATCGACGCCGTCACGAAGCGCAGAGTGGAATTTCTCGTAGCGCCTGTCGTCAGCCTTCTTCTCCCACCGCGCACACAAGTTCTCCAGTGCAGGGATCGCACGATGGAGGGTGGGAATCTGGTCGGATGAAAAATGCTGCTGGTACTTGTTTGCATCCTGGCGTTTTGTTAGCGTGCTTGCATGTACAGTGTAGAGTGTGACGTACCATGAGAATATCGGCGCACAGCTGGACTCGAGTCCAGTCCTCCTCTTGAATCATAAACGCCGTCCATGGAATCTTCTTGGCGACTTTTCCATTCTTGCGAACAACCGTAATAGGGCCGAAAAGTTCATCTGCAGTTGCTGTGAAGAGCCTGAGCACCTGAGAGAAAGGTTAATAGAGGGTGCAATTTGCAGAGATATTTGCGAACCTTCTTGAGTTTATGTGCACGTGTTAACATCTTATATGCGCTGCCCCACCGGGTGTTGTTCTGTAGCGGCACAACGAGTGGTTTAGCAATACCGTTTTCGATTTGAAGCTGCTGGAACCGTTGTTTGCGCTGTCCTGAGGCTTGTATCTAAATAATGTTAATCATAGGAAACAAAATTGCAGAGACTGACGTACCTTGATAACAAGTGTGCGGATAGCAGCAATGACATCGAGACCATCACGAAGAAGGTTTTCGTGAGCGCTCGGATCGTAGTCCCAGATGGACTGCTTTGACTCGAGCACGGCCACCTTGGTTACTGCAGCCATAAAGGCCTCTGTGCCTAGGGAGACTACATGTGCCAGACAGCTAAGCAGCAAGCTGTGTTAGTATAAGTGATAGGAATAGTAATATGTGACGTACCTAAGCTTGCGTTCATCAGCGCTCCAGCCAGTAATGCCACGGCGAGTGAACGTGCTTTCTACTTTGAGCGCCGTCATGTCATTATTGCTAGCGTTATCTGCAGTAACATAGCCGAGCTGTAAGCAAGGTGAGCCAAGTGATAACAGCTAAGTAAAGCGTAAATCACCTTGCTTGTCATTTGGGAGATGATGCCTACACGCGAGAGAAATTTCAGGAAAAACCGCCCAAGGTTCTAACCGTCGTGTGCGCCAACAATAACGTTAAAGCCCAATACCTCAGAACGGAGCTTCCAGCCATCAGGGGAGACGTCGATCCACTGACCCGTGATGCCGAAGCACGGGTCGCTCGTGTGCTCACGCGTCCATAGATCCCAATTGACAGAGACCTCACCAGGTGCGTTCTCGATTGCTGCCTTGATATTGCTGATATACTCGACGAACTTGTTGCA